AAGCCCTGTAAACGGACAATCTCATACGACGAGGCGATGTGGTGTTAGCGAATACGCGCGGTTGGAGGCGCACGCCTCGATTGTGTTTAAATCGGTTTTGAAACGGCAAATTCTTGCGTCGCTGAATAGTTTCGCTTTTTACCGAAGTATGCGTGAAAGCTAGATTTCGCGGCAATTTTATTGCGTTTCCATTTTAGAAGAAGTCCATGTCAGCTGATGCCGCCCGTATTAGGCCTCGCGTTTCGAGCCGCCCTAGGGTACAAAGGGCACAATGGGCGTGCTATTGCTACGCGCTTGCGGCACCTCGTTTATTACAGGATACCCGCCGTTTCTTCGTTTGCGGCCGGGAAGACGTGCAAGGGGAAGCGGCAGAAAACTCCACTTTTTCTTAGGACCTAGTATTGTAAGGTATCGTCGCAGACGGCGTGCTGTGTGGTGAAGAGGCGTTATGCAGCGACACAGGATTGTGGCGCGAGAGTTCAACTTCAAAAATTATTTTCTCGCTTTAAACGCACATTACTTTGAACAAACTTTCAGAATCAAAAGACTATCGATTATTCTTCCAAACCCACTATATTTTGTATTTTTGCTTGGACCACCTCATGGTCAAATAAACGGCTGTTTATGCGTCAAGACGCACTTTTTTTCCAACTTCAGGATTTTTGTTTACTGCGAAATATCTAATTGAGCGGTTTTAAACATTTATTATAGAATATATACCTGCAGGGCAGCAGGTAAAGAGCTCTATTAAGTGCCGGAGCAGTTATATATTTTTAGTAAAATAACAAAAATGTTTAAACTTCCTAATTTTCTTAGTTTTTTTTTAATATTTAAATTAAAGAAAACTTTACAGGCCCAACCACATTGTAAGCCGAAAGCCGTGCAAATTTAAGAAAAAATATTGTTGGGTGTTTGACTAAAAAGCTGATTTTTCATCAATTATTGAGTGATGCCTAGTTTCATGCTGTTTTTAAACAAAAAACCGCGCTCACGCCATAAAAAAAAAAATATTTTCGCCAAAAATATTTTAAGGCATGGCTACGGACATTACGGCAAAAGGCCATGAATTTTTGTTTGTTTTCTGTTTTAGAAATCGGAAGGGGTCGAGCGCAACGTCTGGGACGTTTGACACGGAATGACCCTGCTTTCTTGCGCTCGTGCTTTGGCAAAGTAGCTTATCCTAGATACAGTTCAAGGCGAATATTTCATGCGTATGGGTTCACGTTTTAGTTTCTGCGGAACTATAGCTCTTGTTCTCGCAGTATCGCAGTAAAGACGCAGTCCATTTGTGTCATTCCAAACGTTACGATGTAAGTATATGCATCTTAAAAACACATGTCTTTCGCACGTCGCGCTAGTGCATTTATTGTTTTCACAACCACTCAGTTCACCCAGCCTCGTTTAAGGAGAACAGACATTTTTAAAACACTTAACGTTGCAATCTATCTGTTTTACGAATCTTTTGAACAAATTTTGACGAATAAATAACGCAAGCAACTACCAAGCCGCCATCGAATTGCTCGTATTCAATTAGAAACCACTGCGTACGGTGTCGCTCTAGGATTCCTTTATTCAAAGAGTAGTGGGAGAAACACCGATCTGCCGAATCTAACGCAGCCGCATGGGGTTAAACTTGGAACACCACCGAAGTGCGTTCACCAAAAGTACATCAACCACCCCTTCAGGAGTCAAGAAGGCGTGTTGAAATCCGGCTCGAAAAGTGCACCTGCTTCCCTCACAAAAAGAAGTGTACCCTCAGATGAATCGTAGGATGAATACTGGTAACCGGGATTGCCTCCGCGTCTTCTCTGCGAAGTCCTCCTGCCTCTAATGGGATAACATTTATCGCGAGTTCCTAAACAACATTTAGAAACAAATTTCATTTACCACACAAAAAAATCTAGGCAACACAGAAAGTTCAGCTTCTGCCAGAGTATAGACCTAAAAGTGAAGATAAAAATACACGTATTTTTGTATTTTTAGTCCGATAAACTGGGTAATAACAAAAATTGTGAATTTGATCATACGCAGAATGGAGATACATACCCCAGCAATTTTTTTTTACACGAGTACCGTTCATATTAACAACGTCATTTTATCGAGGCAGAGGCTTTTTGAAGTTTTCCTCAAAGAGGATTGCCACCGGAGTTAGTCATTACATCTTGCCTCAGCAAGACTCAGGCGCGGATTTCTGGGGAAGGCTTTCAGGGGGGGGGGGAATACATTTGGCTGAAGGGGTGGGAGGGGTGGGGGCGAGGCGTTGCTTAGGTTCATTTGGCCTACCTGATATTTGCTATGTTATCAGGAGCTCACCATTTTTCTCCGAAAACCGCAGGTATATGTAACTTTTTTTAGAATAAAAGTTCACCTCGGGGGGTTTAGAGAGTGCAATCCCCCCCCTCTCCACCCGCCTCATTGAATCCGCCCGAGGGAAGACCGTCACTCGCCACAGATGGGTAAAATTTATGGCTGAAACTGCATGAAATAGAACTCAGGTGGCCACCTTTATTAAGGGGCTAATCCAAAAGCTCTTGACACCTAATAATAACTGCCTAAATCTGTGCCATGATTACGTAAAGAAGGAGCTAGGACATGTATCAACACTTCGTGTACATAAAAAAAAAAACCTCACGTGATTTTGTTTTTTTCCCAGTTTATTGGTAGGATTCGGATTGACTAAGAACCCTGGCGGGAACCTTCTTTGAGGTGTAACGTGTCACTGGGTTATGTGCTTGGATTTTGCGTACGAAAAAAAAAACATGCTTCACGTGTATTTTCTTAATTTTTATTTAGTTCATTAGAGCTTGAAAGAGTGGCTTCACACATTGATCGAATAAATAAATTGGTTTTGTTTTTTTTCTACATTTTCATGAGAGACATTTAGGACAGTAAGTGATTTTTCGCTCAGTGCATTTGCTGGTGGCGCAGGATGTCATGTGCATCTTCAAACATTTTGAAAGTCTATAGGGTTTTAAATTACGTGACGTGTATGCTATGTTTTGGCATGCGGTTCCCTCCTGTCCATGTTTATTTACGGGGCACTAAACAGTGACTTTCTTTTTTTTATTTCAAACGAATGTACACGTTAATTACTATGCCGTTTTTCACAAATAAAGAAACATAGAGGTTGTTGCCGAAAAATTGTTTCGAGAGATTACTGAAAAGGCTTTTCGCCGTTCTTTATTCATTTTTATTCTCTCGACGTACTTTAATATCTGTGAAAATGCTAATTGTTGATATACATACTTTACTGTTAAAATTGGAACGTGACTTCGGGACAAAAATAACGGCACCAAAGAAGCAGAAGCTTCAGCTCAAGCTGATGGCGCTCGGGCTACGAGCCTCGTCCAGGGCACCGCCACAGAAGCCAGTAAAATATGTTTATCCTGGCAGTCGGCCGTTCAATTATTCGGTGCTTACAGAGTCCCGAGAATGAATATTGCTTACCGCACAAAACGGGTGAAATTCGCCACGCATGACCAAGTGTTTTTTATCCTAATTAAAAATTATCCGAAGAGGCGGAAAGCTACCAAATTTAGTATAACTAATTATTCTTAATTGGGCAATTCTCAATGTGGTGCAGACCTGATGTTGTAAAATTTGTTCTAAGTGAAAATCGCGCTGTTTGATTTGCCGCTGAACCGGTGAACAAACTCCCCGGTCGGTTCCGGCTGTCAGTATTTTTTTTCTCGAATATGCCTGAAACTAATTAACTATACACTGAGTGTGATTTTATTCGAACACATTATTTTAAAAAAAAGGCGATGAGACTTAGGCGAGTGCCGTCTTCGCCACACATTTATCCGTCTCGGCGGATATTAGATGATGGGATAATCGTGTTGCTAAATTTACTAATTACCGAAGATTCGCTTATTTTTTTTATTGATTGATTGGGGTGGTCATATTGTAATTGCATTTTCTACGACATGTATCAATATAGGCCAGACCAATATAAAACTTCTGCGAAAAGGTGATATCATTTTTAGTTATTCATCGATTTTCGCGCGGTTTAAAAATTTCCCGCTTAAAGAAAGCATCACGCCCGACCTACAATGACGCTTGGAACAATGGCGTAATCGCTTAAGTCACGTCGTCACTTGTGTCGTCGGCGCACGCAACAAAGACATGCTGCCCAGAAAGTGATATGACTGAAATGACGATGTCACTGTTCCAGACATCGTGGTAGGTAGGGCTTGCGACGTTCCTTTTAAATGTTTTCCTTTTTATTAAGGAACGCGAAAATCGAGCAAATAAAATCTAAAAAACCGTTGCACTTTCTTATATTCTATAAATTGGTCTGGCCTCTAATTGTAAAGCAGGGAATGCTGCAATTCCAAGATATTAAAAAAAAATAATTCAAACGATAATTATAAGCTATTAGTTCATAATGCGACTTATAGTGACGATTATCTCCTCATCTAATGTCCTCCGAGCATGATAGAGACACGAAGACAAAAGTCGTGATTTTCATTCCCCTTATTTGTAAAAAAATCTGATCGAATTAATATTAAAATTCTCGTATATGCAATGGTAGGTTTTGGCAGCAACTTTAATATTCTTTTACACCAGTTCCATACAAAATCAACAGTATTAAAAAAACTACTTTTAAAGGCATTGGTCACGCTAAAAAAATACACACGCAGTTGGTATAGATGCCATATAAATGTATCATTATAAACGGACACTCAACAGGAATTATTTGCCATAGTATTTCTACAGCAATCATTTTGAGTTTAGCATGTGGCTTCACATTTTTGTTGTTACTAAAATTATTTATAAACACTTTTTTTTCACAAAGTGAGACACGAAGAACGTTTTGTAAGGGGAACGTGCTTCTTATTACAAGTTACAAGAGCGGTCTTCCAGGTACATGTATCACATGAAATTTCCGGTTTTCTGACTTTTCTTAGACCAGCGGATGCAACGCCTCATCACAGTGCACCTCAAGGGATTGAATAGAACGTTTCGTACAACCAGAGCCGTCGTGAAGCCGTACTCACGTGGGAGGACTGGGTAAGGGAACTTGGTGTATCTTCCAAGTGGCCACGGACATTGAGTTCTCATCGGCGGCATAGCACCTCCACAGGCACTGGATCAGAGTAGCAGCCGGCACACGCCGTCGGATCATGTGCTTTTGACGCTGCTGCTGTTGGACCTTGAGCGCAAATCCAGAACCCAGGATGCCCTGCAGGAAAAAAACAGGACTGACCTCAGACGCTGCTCAGGAAACCCCCGCTACTGTGCCTGGAGCGCCTCTGTGACCGGTTGTTTTCACCGCGTCCTAAGAAGTGGTCCCTCGATTCTCGCCTCATGACATCATTTAATGTCACGTTGCTTTTTATCATAATCCTGCAGGTGGAAGTGAGTGCGGCGTACGCCTGTGCTGCTGCAGGACGATCTCTGCTCAGACAGTCGATGAACATCAAAGTAGGCGCACGTTAAGAAGCCACGACGACAGCGACCTTTGCTTCGCTCGTTTTTTCGCCAGCATTTCTACGACCAATTGCCTGGCTCGCGGCGTTCGACAGAATGACAAACCGCCTTCAGCGACGTAATGTATTGCCCTTTCGGGCCCACTTTTGCTGCATGGGCTGGGAAGGACGGCAAACAAAGACGCGAGTTGAAGATGCGTTCCAGACATCGCTCTCTAGATGCCGTTCAACGCTTCAGAGCAGACGATAAAGTCCGTCAAAAAAAGACCCAAGAAATAGAAGCGGGTACCTACGGCTTAGTGAAATGCGCAGAGAAAACACGCGAGACCTAGTAGCGGAAATGGGAAAGGAAAACAAAATATTACAGGAGTACACTTAAGCCTGCTAACGTGTAGGATTGCGAAAGCTTTCGTATACGTAGCGTATTCTTTCAAGCTGCGCGCTCCGCTATTCTCTGCAGATGCCGGCCGCGGGCTCTGGGAAGAGACGGCTGTACGCTGCTGCGGCGGCTCGCGGGAGCAGCGCCAGGAGTGCGGGGTGGCGTTCCTTAGAACTATCCGCCGCGCGGGCTGTGCCGCAGCCATTTTAAGAGCCGATTTGGCGCAGAGGGAATTTCCTTGTCGTTTTTCGCGGTTACGGACAACGCCGGCTCCGCTCCATGGGACAGCTAATGCTTTCGCATTAAAAACAGGCAAGCGGGGGGGGAGGGGGAAGGGGGTAAATACACGCACTTAGAATTACGAATACGACACACCGTTATCATTACCTGTCGGGTGACTGATGCCAGTAAGCAATGAACTTTAGACTGAGAACGGGCTTTGCATTCTTCCCAACTAACCTCTTTCCATTGACAGCTGCCTTGGACCAGACACAGAGAATGTATTTCATTGAAGAAAAAAAAGTGAAAGTTGTTTGCAATCCCCTGTAAGGTCGAATTAGAGCGCAGCTATTGAGCAGGAGGAGGGGAAGGTATGGACAGGAGGGTATGCGGCTCCTCCTTATCCCCGAAGGAAAAATCCATCAATGTAACGCTGTTTGGCAGTCAATGTTTTCTAGTGGACCGCTGACTGTGCCTGACTGTACGTCAAGCATGTCTGATTGGCCAACAAGTTACTCTGACCGACAGTCAAACTCCAGTCAGACCCCGCTGGTCGGCTTTCTGATGGTTTCCTGGTGGCAGTCGGCCGCGGCGAAATGCCATCAGGATGTCCTGGTGGTGATTCTGACTGTACATCGATTGTCTCTGACTGTACGTCAGAAAGCTTTGACGTGCAGACAGAAGTACGGTCAAAGGACGTAAAGTTCGTTCGGATACCACTATTTTGTCAAATCTATGAATACAAAAAGTAATCTATGCACGAGAAAACGGTTTCGGGACGTGAGCCCATAAAACCGCTGACGTTAGAGATGTGACACGCAACCGACCGACAACCATGATCAGAAGCCCGCCGAAGCCGCCGAAGCGTCGAACACGACACTTCGCACTTCGCTTCGCCCATAGAGGCTTCGCCGAGCTTTCATGAACGATCGCTCTCGACTCGTTTTGTTTGCCCGCTTGCTCCAACCTGTCGATCCTGCCCGGGCTCTACAATGTCTTATGTTTTAGTAGAATTTCTACTCGACAAGACCCAGCCTCTTGTGAGTTCCGACGATGTAAGGGACTTTAGCGGTGTAGTTGAAGACGACAAGGTGTACCAGGTCTACTGGGCCGATGACGCGCGAACAAAAGGATCATTCTACGACGCGAAAGTACTCTACATGGCAGGTGAGTAGAACTGAAGTACGGCGAGTGATGTACGAGTGCTTTCATAACATGCTGACGGCTTAACTGCATTTGCAGCCGAAGCATCTCGTATGAAACGAATAGTCAAATCGAGTTTCTGTAGCGGTGGCGTAGCATAGCGGTTAAGGTCTCCGATTTGTACGCAAGCGGTCGCGGATTCGATCCGGGGTAATCCTGCTTTTTTTTTTTTTTCCTGGAACATTTTGTTTTATCGGGGCATTTGGCGATATTTATGAGTGCGTATAGCTTTACTCTTATATAAATGCTGCCCTTGATGATGAAATTCCCTTGACAGTGGCAGTCAGACGTCATCCGATGGACCATCAGATGACGTCTGATGGTCCATCACGTTCCACCAAGGCTGCTGACTGGCAGTCAATGTCCCAAATTACGTAGCTTGATGGAATTTTCAATAGGGTCCGTACCCTCCTCTCCTGCTCCTCTCCTATTTAGCGGAAAATTTTTGCTCAATTTTTCGCTAAATTTAGCGGGAAATTTAGCGCCCTGCCCCCCCCCCCCCCCCGCTACATTTAGCGGGGGGGGGGGGGGGGCAGGGCGCCCCTCTTGCCGTTCCGGCTGGTACGCCCATAATTGCTGGCAGGGTACGAGTTTAGGTGCATGATTGAACAAGGCAGAAATCTTTTTCTCCGAACATCTGAATGCCATATCAAGACTTCAAAATATCAGTGCGGCGGGTATCGGATGTTTCCAATACGGAAGTAGTAAACTGTTGTTTTATGACTTTGAGAAAAAATAGTGAATAAATTACTTTGCACAAACTCTCGTGTTCTAACCCCAACTCTGACCCTACCGATTAGAGGTTGGTTGTATATATCTGTTTTAGATCAGTCCCTTACTTTCCGATCGAGCAATTAAAGGGGTTTTAGTGAGTACATGATTCTAAAAAGTCCGTCCTTATGAGGGCACGTTCCCACTTTACGTTCTTTTAGAGTGTCGTGGATTTAACCAAGCGCTGCAGGATTATTTTATCCTTACATGCACATGAATCGTGCTTCTAGATACAATGTTACACATTCACGTAATAAGGAATTCAATTATATTTAGATAAGCTTTTTATCGCACAGAGGCAGTTTTCTCGTCGCATGCATCCTCAAAAATCAAGAATATAATTATCCATATGTGTTCTTTCTTAAAGGGACCATGAAGGCAGTTTCGAAGTTTTATTCGACGATTGAAATGAATATCAGGCACGTCTCAGATACTGTTGACCAAGTTCTAGCCCGACGCACCAATCGAGCAAACATGCGCGGTAATAATAGCGCCGGGAACGATGCCTGAGACCCCACCGAGGAGGCGGCAGAAAGGTGAACTAAAGTGCGCCGAAGCGTGACGACAACGGGCTCCTCGTCTGGCGATTGGTTCAAACGATAGACGCGCTCTTGGTTTTGATTTCGGTGGTGAGATGTGATGAAAAATTTTTATTTGAACGTTGGATAATCTTTTGAAGTTGTAGTTGGGAATTAATAGGTTTCATACCGTGTATAAAAGCATAATCTGAAGCGATCCCTTCGTTTGTCACTGGTTGAACGCATCCCGCACTGCTACCTTGGGCGCGTAAAAAGCATCGAGCAACCATGGACAAAAAAAAAAAAAAAAATGAAGAAGGTACGAGCGCCGGGGGCGGCGGACTTTTGGTTTTGGTTTCGTGCGTCGTCTCGAGTTCGCTTTGCGAACTGGTGTCTCACCAATCATGCCGCGTTTTTGTGCAGTAGTAGGTTGCGCGAAAGGTCGGCTAAAGACGTGCGGTCGATCGGGCGACGTCAGTTTGCATAAACTGCCGACCGATGCAGCAATGCGCAGCATTCCTGCATCAGTCGCCAATCCTGGGTTCTGCGTCCTTAGCAGCATCTCCCGTTCAGTCGGCGTGAGGTCGCCGAACGGGAGCTCAAACTCGCTTGCGAGCGCGGCGTTGTCGTCCATTTCTTCCAGGTTTTCTTCACAGACCGCCATGCACTAGAGCGGACCACGGGAACCACAATGATTGTGCACTAAGTCCTACCGATGCCGACAGTGCTCCCTGACGTCACTTCTCTTTCCTGAGACGAAAAAGGGAAGAAATATGAATGCTTGTTTTGGTTTCGCAAATTTATTTGCAGGTACAGAAATAAGAGACACAACGTTATAGAAAAAATTGTGTGGCATGCCAGGACACCAATGCTTCCGTAAACACCTTCTTAAAAAAAAAAAAAATTAAATTGCCTTCATGGTTCCTTTAAAGGTTAGCTGCAAAGAACAAAAATGTTTTTTTTTAACAGCCTATTTGGGACAAGCTTGTAACAAAACAAATATTCCGCGAAAAAACAAACCTTTTCTAGTAAAATTTACGCCACAGGACGTAATTTAGTCAGAGTCAACTTCTCCACATTTGAAACTCCTGCTGTTGCAACGCGCGCGGAGTGGCTGGAATACGTCACTCCGTGACATATAGCAGCCACTACGTGGCGTATATCGGACGAAATAGCCGCAAACTAAAATCAGTCTCGCGCAATAAATATTGCTGTAAAAAAATTTGTTTTTGGCGGAAAAATTGCTTTGTGACATGCTTGTCCCAATTAGGCTGTTTAAAAATAGACTTTTTTTCTTTGCAGTTACCCTTGAATAAACACTCCCCCATTAATTTGCACATGCCCGTTTTCTTAAGAATATTCCCCCAAAAAGCATATCACGACATTTGGTCGCGTTTATAATAGGCTAAAAGTCGATGCATGACTATATTCTAGGATATTGAATTTTACAGCGGAGCTCTTAAGGGCTCTTAAGGGCTTTGTGTCCGTGGACAAATAAATCTCGAAAAAAAAAACCTAAAAAGCTACCGCCATCTATGAGTGACGGCGGCAACCGGAAAACCGGCTTGCCGGTTGTCTGGTTGTTACTGTCGCTCATAGATGGCGGCAAAAGTATATCTCCGCTGCTCTTCCTTCGTCACCAAAGTGGAAAGGCTGAAAGTTTTTTTGTTGTTGTTGTTTTAGGTTTTATATAACTTTTTTTTTTTTATTTCAGAAAAAAATCAAAATCTACTTCAGTGCTCTTTTAATGTCTCTCCTGGTGTTAGTGTTTGTAACTTTATGAAAAACGTCCCTCTAGGTTCGGGCTCTTGAATTGTGAAACTCCGTCAATGAAACAATTTGCTCACTCTTTCTTTAATGGCTAAATCGATGGCATGAAATAACAAACATTTAAAACGAAGCTTTAAGGCGCTGCGTGATAGTCATTCATGCATTCATATTTTCATTTCTAACTACCCCATCGTTCCTTGTCTTAATTTTGCTTCTATCAAAACGGGGAAACACATAAACTGACGGTACCAACTTTCGCTCGCGTCCGTTTAAGATGGGGGAGGGGATGACCCATGATTCCTTCAGTTCGTCGTCTTTGCCGGGCTCGTGTTCGGTAAGGTCAAATCCAGGTTTCTCCCATCCCTTCTTTATCAGCACGCGTGAAGGTGCCTCTTCAGGAAAGCTTCGTCACAAATTGTGAAACAGCGTTCAGTCATTCTGACTGACGCTATCACAAGAAAACAACGTACGTAAGTTCAGAATTACATACATAGACTAGAGTTCGTCGCAAAAGTCTACAGATTTTGAGTCCTAAACTACACGAGAAATGTACACCTTCGATGCATCACGTTCATTCTGTGTTTGTAAAAAATAAATATGTTGTACAAGCCCAATAATAATGATGCTCTCTAAATGATTAACCGTAAGAAAAATAAAGCGGATCAATATACCCCAAAACGTAATATTATGGACAATAGAAAAAAATGGGAAAGGAGTGAAATACTCTTTTATATTAAAGAAAGGATCAGGGTACGTAAAGGTAAAATGGGGAAACTAATTTCTTCTGTTTTATAGCGGTAGCAATTAAAAGCGAAATCTCCGTGAACATTTCTCAGTCACTTCCGAATTACTTACATCAATCCAGCTGTAATTGTTGTTATTATTTTTACTTCTTTCTGCAAGAAAACGAAGTTTCTTGCACTCTCCGTACCCTCTTGTTAGCTATCACAAAATCTCCGACCGCTATTTTGATATTGATATTTATTTATGGCGTGCCCAAAAACACCATAATGGTTTTGACATTGGTGCACAGAAGTCAGATTCCTATGAAACGTTGCTTGTACGCATGTACTAAAGACAGCGTAACGAAGGATATACCCTCCTTAGGGCTATGGCGTTTGGTATAATCGACCCTAAAAAATCTATACTATAATTACTCTCAGGATAAAAAAACAAAAAAAAAAGAAAACGTTAGGAGCGACAGGTCGTGGGCACCTTATTATATTTTCATAGTCAATTAGATTTGGGCATAGTATGATAAGGACATCATAGAACGAATCTCGGAACACGAGGCGTGGACATTATAAGGTGCGCCCTGCCATGTTAATGATCCGGTTACCTTCGGGTGCTTTCTCGTATTAAGTTTCTCGCTACGGAGCTAAAACAGTGGCAATAAAAACTAAAATGCATAGGGAAACAGGAGACTGGGCACTGAGCGAGATTTTATCTCTTAATAGTATAATGAAAATACTGCAAGCAAATCCACTTAAGAAATTAGTTTAAAAAGAAAGCTTTATTCCTGACTCTCTGGAAATATGTTTCCTTTGAAGTATTACTTTGTGGAAAGATTTAAAATAGTTCTCATTAGCGTTCAAGAATTGTCTAAAACCATACCCCTAAGGCAAAGATTAATTAGTTGTAATACATTTGTGTTTACTTTGACAATAAGTTAAAAAAAACGTTTTTTACCAGTATAAAGGTGTGTTACGTATTTAATTACTTCAAAACTAAGGCTCCTCAGCGACGCTGGTTAAACCACGGCACTGTGCATCCCTTTTTTGCTGCTGTTGGTTAACTGCTGCCGCCAGATTGTAAACCTATGGTACATTAAGTTGTCATAGGTGCCGGGGGTATTTATAATGACCGCAAAATGACTAAATATGGCTGTTCTCTAACTGCCGTTTCCTGTCACTATCTAACTTTTCCACTTCCTTTTCATTTGCGCTTTCCCTAACTCATAAGTTTGTTATGAAGTTGCAACACTAGGTTTTTCTTTCAATTCTAGATATTTTACCAAGGGACAAATTAATTCTATCATGCCTACAAAGTAGAAGTTTATTAATTTCCCTTTTATTTTATTCTTTTAATTTTTTTTCTTGTGGGAGGAGGTGGGGTAGGCGGGGGGGGGGGGGGTTAGGAATATTTGAACTTTGATATAGGTTCCACATGAAAGCTTACATGATTCTATAATTTTGGTGCATGTTCTCGCCCTCTTCCATCGACTTGTCAAAGCAGTTCTCCACGCGTACATCTAATTCTTTAACTTAAGCATATTTGACAGAAGTCTATTTGATTGAAGTGGGCATATCTAACTCTTAAAAAATAAAAAGGTTCGAGCGCATTCAAATTAATTATTTAGTAACAACAATACAAATGGCACAGACGTTCATACTAAGGATACAATGGCATCAACGATAGGACGACGTCCTGAGTTTGCGAGAATTCATGTATATTTAATACCTATACTACGTTCGGAAATCTGCCCATTAATCTGTATAACACCACATTTGTACGAACATTGGTTCCTTTTTGATCGATCTTGAAGTTACAGAAATAGGTAAATATAAGCCAACAATTTTAGAACATCTCTCTGTTTTTATTCAATGACACTAAAATGAGTACTTCACTAAAATAGGTTTCTCGGCGTGTAATTTCTGATTAACGCGATGTCAAGAAATATAGCGGAATGCTCTCGCAAGCGGTTCCAATCAAATGTTCATTAGCCCCGTTTATGAAAAATAAAAGTTGATATGCAAAAGATGAACGTCGTCAGCTCTTATAGCACTAAACAGCATATATACATTTTGGAAGAAATTTCCTTAAATGCATAGTGGTCAATATATGTTTTCATGATTCAGTTATTGCTGTACAATTCAAATAACGATAGATGTATATTAATCAAATGCGTTTACGGGTTTGACCCCTATTTCTTTCAACCCATTCGCCTGTGTAGTATTACTGCCCACAAAACAATGTAAAACTTTTTTAAACAATACAATACAATGCAATATTTATTTGCTTCTCAAAAATAGAGTTCAAATGTAACTCCCACATTAACCAATACTGGCTTGTGCATGGGACGCGACATCGTTTACGCCAGGGCAAATAACATTGGAAGAGCCTAAAGATTTACTTTTTAGGCCATTTTTGCAACTAGCAGTCATTAGATATTTTTCCTTTTTGTGCTGAAAGCATTGATGGGAAAACTGACTTTTTTATCTTTTGTGGTGGATCGTGACAAACATCAAGAGTGTATGTGTCCATTAGCCACCGAGTCACTACAGGCACAGGCATGTCTGTTCAGTTATCTTTTCTGATAACCAATGAGTCCGCTATAAATTATTACACCGACCCTTGCGACAAAGTTTGCCGGAATTCGTAATAGTCTTTAGACATTTCTAATACAGTGTCAGTTAAAATGAAGTATTTCAAATTTTAGCACGGATGAAAGCATGCCTGATGTTAAGGGCTATATAGTATACATATCGCAGAAACATAGTTTTAACTACACGATTGTTTTTTTGTTTTTTTTTAAACCAGGTATACTCACAGCTGGTAGAGCAAAGAAGGAGATTCCCATGAGAGCGCAGAAAGAGGCAATCAACTTCCCGGGCCACGTGACAGGCACTGTATCACCATAACCTACTGTACATAAGGTGATCTGAAACAGAAGTTACGAGGGGAGTGAGTTCCTTTTGTAATATTTTATATCGAGTTTGGAGAATCTAAATTATATAATATTTAAATCCACATAAATGTGTGTTACAATGATATTTTTTAAGTTAAGAAAGGCGCCGTAAAAAACTCTCAGCACTATTCAAAGAAACTTTAAGAGTAGAAAACCTATATATACGATGATCAAGTTTATTATTATTTTTGGTCTCTCAGAAAGAACAAACATTTCGGTAACTTTACCGCATCAGTCATAAATTGACTAGCTTTGAAATAAACCACGCGCAGAGCGTCGTTCATTACTTATTTTGAAAAAGATACTGCAATATTAACGACTGTTTTTTTAATGGACCAAGCCCTCGTGTGTAATATAATTCATTCTAGTTTTCGTTTGCTTCCTGAAGTTATTGTTTGTTTTTGCAGTGTGCTACGCTCGCTCGAATATGGCATAGCAAAGCTTACCGTATAATATTTGTACTTGAAACATACAGAGATAAAGGATTTGGCTGAATGATTTATCAGCCTGAATAAGCATTTTTTGCAAGAAACAAAAAACAAGGTCCTCATTTTGCCTGTTCAATACATATATAATGATTTAGGGTTAAGTACATCTAAATAGCTTTATTTTTAAAAAATAAGAAAACAAAAATACAGCTTGAGAGGAGCTTTACATGTTTCTTCTGTTTTCCTCTTTCCCTCTCTTTTATTACCTATTTTTAAGCCCTCCGGCAGCGTGTTCTCAATCTATAAAATAAATCACTGCGAGAAACTTGACGTTGTCTCCCGCACAAGTATATATATATATACGCCGTCTGTTTTAATAATCAGAAGAGTAATGTGCAGTGGTTCCTGGAAGAACGCGAGCGCCAAATTGTGAAGCGTTCACATGGAGGAAAAGTGAGTTTATTCGTACATCTTGGCACCTAAAGGGCCACTGACAGTCCCAACATCCATGTGGTTTTATTGTATCAAACGCTCTAGGAGCACGTAATGCAACTAAAATGAAAAATACAACAAAAAAATAGATCGGCAAAAAAACAAATTATTTTTGTGCTCAAGCCGGGGTTTTGTTTGCTTTATTTGCGATGGCGCATTTGGAGGTGTCAAATTCAGCCCGTCTGTACCAATTTGTAATGACATCAAATATAATTTTAAGGCGATTTCTATCGCACAACGTGGCTACTTCCAAAAAAGGAAAAAAAGAAATCGGAAGACACCCAAATGTTACTGACGATGCATTGGCTGCCTCCTACTTTCTGAGCCTCAACATGACGACGCCTGGAGGGTGCTCTAGTGTCATTGAGTTGGATGCAAACGATTCGGAAAACTGCAACAACTGAATCAATTTTATTTTTGCGGTGCTGTATAATTATTTGGGCTTCGACAGAGCAATCGCGAGCAATAAAAAAAAATTGGGTAAAAGCCCTCACATATCGCACCAAGGTCAGCAAGACATCGTTTTTCTCTTTAACTTCTAGAACTAATTTCGGCACAATAAGTAAGGCGCTCCCCCCCCCCCCCCCCACCCCCAAAAACACACACACACACCAAGAAAAAAAAAATAAAGTGAAACTGTGGCGTAACACGTCGCCTCCTTACGCAGAATGTTCACATGGCAAGCTCAGAGGAAAATTTGCACGCGCCCGTGATTGGCGTAATTGATGAGAAGGAGAGAAGAAATACGTTTACTCGACACTTACGGTTTTCAGTCATTCAGAAAAGTGAGGAGGGCTGCATTTTGGCAGTTTTTGCTTCATTGGTTCGAGCGAAAGTTCGGAAACCTAGCGAGTTGAAAAAAGGTGTTTCCGCAAAATACGCCCTTCCTAAGCTAATCAATTTTATGATTTAACCCAGGGATTCTTAACATTGCTTTTATACAACTAATATATGAATGTTGGAGCTGTCAGTAGCCTTTTAAGCATCGCTAGATGTGTAAAAATTTTGTTTTATTAACGAGAAACAGGACGCGTTAAACAGTCCGACCCATGAATAGCAACCTTTATCGAATCATCCAATACACTGTTTTTTTATTGCCACGAAGCCTACATCAAGAGAACGAACAAGGTTAACCTACAGTCGCAGTGAACAGAAGTCATCTGATTTTGTTACATTTCTACAATTCGTCTAATTAGCCAATGTAAACAGTGCAGCATCATCAATTTCTAAAAAAAAAAACACGCATAGTGTGAAATAAATTTGCACGTTGTAGGAAGTCACTGCATGTACTTACCACACCCCACCAAAGGGCGTCAGCAAAATTACCAAACTTTACAGGGTTGACATCTTTCTCGGCGAGAAATACAAGAAATGAAGAAAAAATAAGTCCTAGAAATCCAATGTACAAAGTTGTGATGAGCTCCTGAAAAGAGAAGAAACAATAACAAAAACAAGTTAACAAGAAACAGCTGACGCTCACCAGACATTTGCATACGACCGTCTTTTTTTATCTTAAAATTAAGGTATCAAAATCACTACGTCAAAAGAACGTTAATGTCTAGGTGAACTAATTACGAATTATTTTACTCTCGGGCCAACCGCTAAAAAATGATTTTGGATTGATTAACTCAGTCTCGAGGGCGTGAGAAGACACGAGGGTCAGTTTAATATTCGAAACCAAAAGGTGGGAATTGTGGAGGCTCTAGCCGAGCACTAGAATGCATATAACCTACTAGTGTAATTAATTATTTTACGTTTCGTTATTCACAAAACCCTTCATTACATAAAAAAACAATAATAACACACTTTAAAGTATTGGATAATTCAAAACGTGCATATCTATTGCCAATGTTCAAACAAAATCGTGTCTGCGATGGGACGACGCACCCATGCGTTTAATGTATACAAATCAAAAACTACTTTATTTATTTTCAAAAGAACCTTCGCAAAGTAGGATCTCTGTTTTAATCAAATTTAGCCCGTTATTCTGGTTGTGTTTGTGTTTATGTGCATATATGAACTGAAATTGTTTAACACATAGATTCTGTTTTAGTTACGTTTAAAGACAGTCATAAGTGTTCAAAAAAGTCTTATTGTCATTGTAACTGATTTTCAAAAGATTGAAAAAGGTACCAAGCTAAGAAAAAGCGAAAGAGAGTTTTTGTGAGTTTCTTTCAATAACACTTCTCACCCTGCAAAGCAGCCACTCGCAGGAAAACGTTCTTCAACAAAAGTGTATAATCAATCTCACGTAATATCCAGCCAATCTATAGCTCTTTTTGCGAAAACAAAACCTTTAGGGCTCTCACGTAACTACGCTAAGGACAACAAACTCTACTCCCTTCTATGTCAAGGACACGTTTTCAGCAATATATTTTATAGCGGTGCCTAACCAATGACTGAAATAAAAAAGTGTGACGAAGTGGTACTACAGAGAAGTTGTACTGTTTAAAAAAAAACATTGCCTATTTCTTCAGACCATCTCTTTTTTTTTCTTGTCTAACTTGGGACACAGGCCCGTGGGATCTTGTGAGTGACGGAGAGTCGTAAAGAAATCTAGACATTTATAAATTATTTTCCATTTAGAACATACGGCAGGCCTGCGACGCTATCGGTAGATCACTTCTGTTGTAGTCACAGAGCGCCTTCTGAGGCACTCGGCAGACGATGCCGGTGTGCCGAAAGACTTTAGGTAATCACAGTTACGACAACGCAATTTAAAATTTTCGCTATTTCAGCTCGAGTGCTGATTAAACATGCCACGGGTCGTCGACTACCGGAAAACAGAACGGGGCAGCTGGTCACGAATGTTATTTGTGATATGCACGAGAAATGCTGACTAGAGCTTTTCCGTCCTAGAAGCTTGATAAATTGCCAATTACTGTTAATTTTAAGCTTTAACTGCTGCTTATGCTCCCCAAATGTTTCTTTCTTTTTTACGTCCATGCTGTTGTGCTTTGGAATTAGAACCTGTCACTCACAAAATTATAAAACCAATTTTCTCCCTGGTCTATTTGACCTACTTCCACGTTTACAGATAGTCTTGTTTTTACGTTGGTTTGAATTACTTGTCACAAGTCGGTTTAAATGGCTTGATGCGGACTGTGTTACTCGGAGATTCTTTCAAATTTAATACAATGTTTAAAGGGAATATATTCTAGCACTGTCTTCTAGTTTGCTTACTATGCCTGCTCGACGATTTCAAACTCGTCGGACAAAAATTGACCGGAGGTTTTACTCCAAGCAATGCTTTTTCAATGTGTTTATTTTCATGACGCCAAACACTCTAGCCCAATCTGAAATTACTGGTGGAGTTAGAGTCATGCTTGTGCCTGATCACCCAAACAGCACCCACAGTTAACGAAATATCATGAAGTACGACAATACCGATGACCGCAAGTGTAATAATAGTGTTAGTATGAAGCCGATGTTTTGCGTTTTCGTTGTGTTAATTGGTTCAGACGTTGGCTAAGTAAAGTATATGGTAACTTGATTTTACATAAAATGATATGCCTTGGTGTTCGACATACATATTCGTGATTTGAAAGTTGTAATTCTGATTTAATATGAGAAAGAAAAAATTACGTATATTAAACGATTAACTTCCAATGACCTAAATTGAGCGAATTTTGCGAGTTCAAAAATATTGCAAGAAACTGTCTGGAGAAATATTCCACGACAATGAGACGATATCAAAGCACACCTCTAGCTCCGAGTCGCAAAGTTGTGTGTTTATAAAAGTCTTCCCGAAAGTTGCACTTCCCAAGTTTCGCTAGATATTGAGCATGCGAAGATAAAGTCGCTTACAGCGTATCCGGATCACCTGCTTTTTAGGTTGCCATATATTTGTTTTAGTTTGTTTATAACAACAGCCTTTTATTTCAAGTTTGGGAACCGTCATTGTAATAGAGGAAGCAATTTCAGCAGAGAGGGCATACAAAGCTGTAAATACCCGAGCGCGCAACTCAATATTCTGTCGAAAATACCAAATCCAATGAAGCTAAATTATGTATCTCCAATTTGTTATAAATTCTGCTAAAACGTTAGAGCTTAACAACAAAACGCAAAGCAAAATAAAGTTGCCGACGCTCGCACGCTTGCCGACAACAAAAAACATCAAAGTGAAAACACTGGTATTTCTTACTGTGTTAAATATATGAGAGCCCTTACGAACACGGCATCAGCAAACAAAATCATGCTCTGCAGTACCTGAAGTTTCTGACTGCTTTATTCATAGTGAAGTGACAAATGCGGCACGTTTTTCGTAAGCTAAAAGCCATAAGAGGATAGTTACGTAAAGGACATTACCAATGCGCCATTACATAACCTTAAGATATAACATTGCGCGGAACCTCCAGAAGCCTAACCCTGCTTCTATAAAAGGCGCGTGATCCTATCTTACCTAGTTGACCTTTTCACGGCAAGTTTTTATCCGTGTAGTTGCAATGCCTGAATGTCGTATAGAAGGCGCTGGCCCACCGGCAGCCACTGCGCAGTTTTCAATAGTTTGGTTAGGGGCTAGTGGTGCGTTCATTTGTGTTAAAGTTTTAAATCATATTTATTTTAATGTCACCATGCAAACATCCCCTTTGCAGAAAGCAATAATTCAAAAGGAGTCATAGTTTGTTTCACATTGAGTCCAAACGCAGTCGACGCTACGACCATGACCAACAGCATCATTGTATTTGTCATGTTTATGTACGTGTTATATTATTATTCAAGCAATCATGTATACGAAAGGCCCAGTGACTTGCGTTTTCGGCACTGTTTCATTAATCCCATCAGCTCGAAGCGTCGGCTGCGTCCGGACGTAAAGTAAAATGAAGTATAGCTACCCACACGGAGAGCTCCCATGTGGAATTCAGACTAAATTGTGGAATTTCTTTTTTGTACACCCCGTGATGTAGCTGGCCGTGTACATAAATCGGCGTCGTTGACTATGAACCTTTGCTCAAGGAACATTACACATGTCTCCGGCTTATGCTCGCGTGTACAGACGTTTTATGATCAAGAAAAGAGTGCACAGACAAGCGCACAAATGAAATAACAGGTCAAACCCGTTTTGCAAATGTGTGGTGACGAGCAAATGAACACATATATATTTTAGTGAACTGCTTAACTTTCCCAAACAACAAACATTTTATTGACTTTGAGACTAGGCGAGTCTCCGAGATCGGTTTACCGAATTGAAGAAAACGTATTGCTGCCTTGGCCTCTTTTTTTATAAGAACGTGAGCTGTCAAAAATATGAGTCAAGCATGGAAACCACGTGAATTGCAGTCCAGGCCAAGTAACTGATTAACATTCGTTCACAATGTGGGCTCTTTGTAACATATTTCTACGAATATAAGATGAAACTATGCTAATATTACGGACCTCGCGTTGTGGTCCGTCAAGTGGAGCCCGGTACCCAATCCTAGTCAAACTTGCTAGGTAAGATTACAATACTCCGAGAATAGTGACCCACGACCAGTTTGACTGAAGCAAAATGCCAGACACCGCTACACCTGGACATATCTAGCCTTTTTTTTAATTTATTTTATCATAGAGGCTTAGCTGATATCCTCGTCGTGAAACGATTGAAAGTAGATTCCTACTCGACCGTGCGTTGAAGTCAACTTCAGGACAGCATTCAAAGGATTTTCATGTAGGCTGTTATTCTTTTGCTGGCATTGAGTATACATGAGACCTAAACTTACTATTTTATATGAGTGACTCAAACATGGGACAGTTTTGTTTCCTCTGCATCGAAAATGCAGCAATAAAGTTGCTATCGCGAACAGATATTGTGGGCGCCCATGTCATGCAAAGAGTAGTGTTTCGAACAATCGAACTCCAGAATCACGATGCTATGAATATTTCGAAGTATTTGACAAAAGGCGAATTACACCTTCATGACCCATGTTATTCGGGAGTTCCATATACGCAAAACCAACTGCCTTTGGTTTGTTTGAATACCAAACCTCAACGCTTTTAAGCAATCGCACATGGTGATTTCATAGGCCGTGGATCTTTGTGGTCTTCATTTCAGGTATTCTGAATGTGTGAATAACGAATGGCTCTGCAACCAGGTGAGCAGTCCTTCATTTCAACGGGCCGGAAGAAAAATAAGACAATATGTTATTTTTCCTTAACAAATGTTTGTGAGTCGAATTAAGCAAACAACTCTCATGGCCTGCCGATGTCAATGATATTAAAACAGAGAGTTTCTGTTTCAGTACTAGCTACTATAAGATAAGATATGCGAAAACCACTTAGCTAATCATGAATTTATGCTACTCACTATTTTACTGAAATATTAGTTATGGGATGGTTGTTTGTTATTCTACCACAGGATTAAGTTTTTACAAACTAATCAACGCTCGATATAAACAATTTGGAAGGTGCAAAGGGGATAGACGTAATATAATAATATTATATTGA